GTCAATACGGAAATATGATGAACATGATATTTAATGGCTGAATAGCTCTCCCGATGATAAACATTGGAAAATATAACGAATTTATAATGAGAGAAGACTAATGAAAAATTCCTTCAAATAAAAATATAAATTCGTTACGTTGATTATTAATCCTTTAAATACATTTTCTATGACTATACAGTGGATATTCATGTGTAGAATCCAATTACTTTTATAAAAATGAGTATTTCTTTTGCAGAAGATGCGCTTTATATATCTATACCTGCGCCTTTGACAGTCAGTAATGATAAAAAAAAACAAAAAAAAACAAAAAAAAAAGTGAGAGAAATTTTGAAATGATCAATCAACAGCTACATGGTACGATTATCAAAGCGGCCATGTAACTACTCGTGATATACAACAAAAAAAGAACCTTCGCACGAATGAGCACTGAACTTGTATTCATCCTTTCAAAAATGCGCAGTTATTTGCACGTAACAGACGGACTGTGATAAACAAAGCATTGTTGATGGATTTTTTCATGCATAAGGGCCTTTAATATTTGATGCTTTGGGAAAATGAAATTTGCTTCTTGAGTGTTTCTATGTCGAGAAAAAATACGAATGACGACAACCGAATAGTAGCGTTGAATTTAGTCGACTTGTTACTTGAATTGCCGAAACAATTGGATTCTTCAACTAAAACTGCTACTGTGAAAGCCATTTATTAATCAAATGATGGAGAGGTTTTTATTTTAATGATATTCTCAGTTGTAGTCTCATCAACTTGTCACATTATTCTAAATCTCACATTATCTAAATAAATGCTGAATTTTTTTCTACATATATTTTTATTTTTATAGAATGATTTTTGCTTTAACCCCGCTGCTAATCCAGCGAGTGAAAGAAAATTCCAGATTATATTAAAGATTTCTGTACACGTTCTATACATATATGCGAGTGAATGTATATGTACGTTACATCATAGGTAACAAATAGTGCTGGAGATAAACTCTCTAATAGCCAAACTTACTTTCGAATAATAAGGTAGAAACTATCAGAAGTCTTACTGACGAGTCAAAGTCACGTAGTCCTGGGACGAAACGTTCGAAATCCGATTCACTAGTTTGCTCTATTTCTAATTCAGAATTTAGCAAGAAGTTTTAATTTACTTAAGAATCTATTAAATAATTTCCATTAATATTGTATTCAATTACTTATTCCTTTGGAAATTTTAATATATATATATAAAGTATGTGTATGTATATATTGTTCATTAGCTAAGATATTCTTTAAAATTTATTAACTTTTGAAGTACATTAATGAATTAGATTAACAATATAGGAATAAACTTAATTTTATTGGTAAAGCTCATTTTTATTATTTATCTGTCAATGTGATAATGTTAATTTTAGAATTAGAATATGTAAGTTGAAGCACGTTGTACTTTATTCACTTGAGTTTGAATCACGTAACCATCACCCGATATGTAAAGTCACATTCGATCACTGATTGATTTATTAATCATGATTGTCAAATGAACTAATTATTAATGTAAATGAAATTAAGATTACTTAAAACTTGATGTTTTAATAAAACCCAGAGCTTTTTTTTGTATATTTTACGTGACTAATTTTAAAATAGGAAAAAGATTAGAATTTTTTGTTCTTATTTTCCTTACATATCGTTCTCCATACATATTATATTAAATGTTTACATAATAATTAAGTTAAGTAATTTATAGTTAAGTAATTTGGTAATTATGATCATTTTTAAATCTTATCTCGAACATTTTTGAAAATTATATATTGAAAAATTAAATTAAATTACAAGGGGTAAAATTTTTAACATAAATATTTTAAATTCATTACTTGTTATTAATGTAATTTTCACCGGATTTTATTTTATCGTGCATAAACTTTTCATTGACATTGTTAAATCTATTTAATATTTATTCTTATAAGTAATTTTATCTTTATTAAATATCTTCGATACAATAACATTGAATTTATACCCATGCCAGTGGTTCGCAAGCCCTAATGGATAAAATCCATCTTGTAACCAAAGAATTTAGGTTCTCTTAACTTTCAGCTACGCTCATTCGCACTTAATTTTCACGGAGACAGGGATATTATACACTTGAGAGCCTTATGTATAATTAAATTTGATGCCGCGGGCTATTTTTATGGAAATTTACGCAATTAACCGAAAAAAAATACTGAAAATTGGCCATTTCGACGAGTGAAAGTTCTTAAACTCGTGACGTTCTACATTGTATCGTATCGTCAGCCATGCCTGCCAACAAATGAGAACACAATAACGCCATTATCAATCTTATCTTATTATCAATTAAATATTGATGCATATTGCTTGCTCATGGGTAATAAAAATCGTGTATCTCATTCATCCGAATTTCTCATTATACTAAAAGTAAAAGTTCGAGAAGGATAGGACGGCTCTTCTAATTACCGTAAAATTTACTACCTCAAGCCTATAAACCGGCTGAGTTTAAAGGCCGAAACTTTAGCCAGTATCGTTAACCTACCAGGACTTCCAGGCTCAATCTACGATTTCGACTCTTTGTCTTAAAGTTGTGCGCTAAGCCAGTGTCCAGACGTGCACGTACCTTCGATCTAGAAACCCCGGAGAACGGCGGAGCTCAGGGAATACTGGACATCCGGAGTCGCGGTCCGAGCTCAGCGACTTCCTTAGCGAATTCGAGCTCCTGGAGTTCCTGCTCGGCTATTAGGCGCTCGTACTCCTCGTTCAGAATGCGCTCCTCCCGCATTCGTCTATCCTCGTATTGCCGATGCTGCAACTGTAGCTCCCGGCCGTATTCCTGGGTCGCCCGACGACGTCGTAACCGCTCTTCCTTTCTCAAGGCTTCGTTCGCAGCGGTAAGGTTGGGGTCGTACACTGGCCGGACAGATGGATTAAATTTGAATTGAGGCAATTTAATGGGGGAGGGGGGCGTAAAATGAAAAAGATTTAAATGTAATTGCTGTGAAATTTGGTTGCGATATAAGATATTCCTTGAATGTGAGCGGCGCTTACTTTCTTTTACCGCTGATACATTAGCAATCGCATGAGTTTCACATTTTCATGAACTAGGCTTATCAAGGACTTTTTTAATTTATATTTCACTAAATTTATACGTGATAAAATTATAAAAAGTAATCTAACTCGTTTATAACTATCATTCATAAGCGCCCAATATTTTATAGACAATGAATTCAATCAAATGAATATATATATATATATATATATATATATATATATATATATATTGATTTCTTTCTTTGAAAATGTAACAGTTTCTCTCATTTAATTGTTGTGTATGCAATATCAAGAGATATATATTCTGCATATTTGTTGTATATACTTATGACGTGAATTAATAGGTACTAACCTACATATGTATATATATAGTAGTCTTATTCATTTTCTAAATTAATATACAATTGCAAAAAATATTTCCCTACAATTATTTCGATTATTCCTTTTTCACTACTATAATTAAATTCTCAGTGAAAGTCAGACAATTTCTCACATCATTAATGCACATAACCAGAAAAATTCAATATTCAATTGTCAATGCGTTAATATACGAATGCATAAGCTTATCACATGAGTGCCAAACCTCTAAAATAATTAACTTGACCCGGTATAAACAGAACCGTATGCATACATGCATACCGCAAGCTTAGGCAGATATACATTGATAACACTTGAGTATATATACATTCGATAAACAAGGTAAGCCTGCACATCAACGACGTTTATACCTGAACATTCGAATATTCTTGGTGCTCACTGTGGAATAATTTAGCCTTTGAAGATGGCGGTGTCAACACTTTTTCTGCAGCACTAGTTGTGTATTACTTCAAATTTTAATATCAAAGCATTATGTTTATAACATTTAAGCATCGCTACAATAATTCATTCCGCAAAGTATATTTTATATAAATACTATGGTATTTCATTCTTTTTAATAATTATTGCACTACAAATTGTTAATTTTCCATTCAAATCCTGTGATTAAAATATACTGTTAAATATAAATGAACTATTGTTGTAATATAAATAAAAATTAAATATTATTTCGCATTGACTATCATGTTTGTATCTTAATGATATAATTATGAAATCAATTTAATTAGCAATTACTTATATAGGGTATCGTGTGCACAATTTTATTCAAACACATAATTTTTTTTTAATTTCTATATTCAATAATGATTTTTAATCATGAGTAATGTCTGCTTATTAAATATTCCGAAAATATTACTCCGAAAATATTCACTCGGTACTAACATATTTAATCGAACATATTTGAAATTCTAAATTTTTAAAGCCAATTAATGTTATATAAAATGGTCCTTCCACTTCATTATATCAAAAGAAGAGACTAATTTATAATTTAGGCAATTAAATATAAAATTATACCATTTACTATATCTATTCTTGGCTGATGAAAATATTATAATTTCTATATTTGAAAAAATTTTTTAATGGATTTAATAAAGATATTCTCAAAATTTTTTGTTTCTTTTGTTTAAATAACTGCATAATAATATTAAAATATTTTGCCCTTACTAAATATATCTAACAATTATTAATATATATCGAATTCATAATGTATATTTTTCATAATAATGTATAAATCGGACTGTATATTCAACTTCAGTTTATTTATGTAATACATGTGCAAGTGCAAGTAAAATCATTCCACATATTTCCACATAATTTGAATCGTTGAAAATTTCAACTTCAACAAAATAGCTTGAAATTAAGCTTGACTTTCACTCGAAATAATCATATTATATATATATATATACGAGAAAATCAATTATCGTCGCTAAAGATGTCGGAAAAGTGGTGGAAGGTCAGAGTAAATTGTAGCAATAATTTATTGAACCGCCAAACTTTCTTTACCCATATATAGGAGCATTTCTATTCTCGTATTAAACTACATCAACATACTTACCCGAAAGTGTGTCCTCAAACATTACTCTTACAAAACTAACATAAGAGATGGAGTTGCGGATGTCCGCGGTTACCTGGATCGAGCTCCGATTGTTGGAGGCTGCGCTTATTCTCGAGTTGCTGGTCCCAGGCGTGCTTGAGCTCGTGGTCTGCTCTTCTCTTCTTCTCCTTGGCTAAGCGTTGCGCCTCCGACTTCTTCTCGTTCATCTCCTTGACCCAGCGGTGCGCATATTCGTCGGCTTTCGCCTCGCGTTCCGCCAAGACCTCGCGGAATCCCTGCAAAATTCAGTGACGCTATCTCAAGTTTGGGATTGGGATTTGTAATTTACCACGCAGCGGTGGCTATGGAATTGTAAATGCTATAAAAATAGTAGCGACAACGCGCTTTATATTTCTTATTTCCATCGCTCGCAAGGTGATTAGAGTGAAATTATCAATGTAGATATTAGATTTCCTCATACAAATTAAAGCGCTGAATAACCAAAAAACAGAGCCTCGCGTAATATTGAAATCACTTGAACGAAGACGAACGGTTGAAAAATTAATAAATTAATTATAAGCGTACAAATGGCAGATATCAAAGCTACAAGTAATTAAATATGATTTTTAGTATAATCATATCAATTTTAAATGTATAATTAATAAATTTGTATTGACATAATGAATTAATAAATAAAAGAAATAAAATATATATTATGTATTTTTAAATATATATATATATATATATGTCTCTCTCTCTCTCTCTCTCTCTCTGTGTGTGTGTATGTGTGTGTGTAAAATATATCATCATGTTTATAAGAATTGCGTCTAAGGGTGGGTATATCAGCATTCGAATCGACACTTTCACAATTTTTGTTATTAGTATTTATGACTTTTATTGATTAATTATATATCGATATAACAAAATACATAAATGTGCAATATTTTTTAAATATAAACCATGAGAATTTTATCATTTATGAAATACATCATTTGCCTGCACAAAAGAATAATAAATTTATAATACTATATTTCCTATTTTATTTACGATTATTATTTTTCAAAATAAAGCAATAAATATAGTAAAATTATTAACATTTGTAATTTGTCTTAACATTAATATGAAGCGTAAAATAAGTTAGTTTTATTTTACTGTACTCACATATCAACATATCAACATATCATTCACTCTTCAATAAAATAATCGCTTCATGTAAATTATCTACAAGATATTGTATACAAAATAATAATGTACGAATTACATATATAAATATATATAATAATAATAATAATAATAATAATAATAATAATAATAATAATAATAATAATAATAATAATAATAATAATAATAATAATAATAATAATAATAAATAATCATTATTCATGTACAAAAAAATAAAAGTACATTACATAAAGTGTAAAATAAATTGTATTAATATATCAGCATCTTTTCTTTTAACTTTTTCCTATTTTAATTTTGAAAATTAATTATTTATTCGCTGATAATGAATACAATATAATATTATGTACAATAATTAAAGTAATACTTCTATTATTTTATATTGATATTTATTAATATCTGCACCTACTAATTAATGTAAATAATAGGCATAATTAGCATTGTAATAAATTATATGTATGTAATTAAAATTATTAAAATCAGATATTATCTTATGTGAGTTGAATTTTATAATTCCATTATATAGCACTTTATTTTATCTAATATAATTGATATAATCAGACAATTCCAGTAAAATTATTTCTACTTATCTTAATTAGATTATTTCATTATTCCAATCTATACTCAATATAAATCATCAATTTATTATTAATTTTTAATTTAAATTAAAAATTTCGATTAATTTAAAGTTTTACAAATCATGAATGTTTAATATTCCTAATTTCATAATATTAAAATTATACAATAAAATTATGGTCTTGATAAATTGAAAATATTTCTTGAATATTAGCTCAAATTTTCGTCAAGTATTAGTTAAGATTAGTTGACAATATTAGTCCAAAAAAGATTTTCTAATCTCTCAATTAAAAATCTAAGATATATAACATTAATATTGAACTGCTAAACTTAAAATATTTTTTAAATCATCGTGTAATCTGAAGTTGTGAAAGTATTATTTTATATACGTTCCATATAATTATAAAATAATTTTACATTGTTTAACAGTCTAATTTCATTTGTTTGACAATATTTGTTGGAAAAAAAAAGAAGTAACTTACTCATTCCTTTGTTAATATACATTTATGTAAATATTATATATTTACTATTTTGATAGTAGAAGGTCTGATTAATTTTTGATAAATAATAAATATATATTTAAGAATAAATGCGAACATCATAAATATTTATTTGTTTAATTATATTCGCGTTATTTTACTTTGTATTTTTAAAAGTCAGTAATACGGTAATTATTAATTTATATTGTTAACAAACTAAAAGGAAATTATGTATCCAATTATTAGATAGACCTATTCACATACGAATGCATATGTAGAAATGGGAATTATTACGATTTATACTTGATGAAAAAATAAATACGGCTATTATTTAAATATATCAGAATACTTTATAAGTCAATTAAATATGGGATTATGAGTGTCAGCGTTTTAAGTTGAGTTAGATGAAATGGTACTATTTTTAAAAATATTATCATATATTGCAATTATCAGGAATTTAAATAATTCATGATTACATAACTAAATTTTAGTTATACTTATAAGAAATAAGTTGAACTACATTAATTATTATCTTAATTCGAATCATTTTACTTAAAATAATATAAATATTAAATATCGCTATACGTATGAGATTGAGTTTTATTTTAAATGTAATACTTAATAAGGGAAGGGTAAATTTTTTTATCTCTTACTCCGGTTCTTGTCAAAGCTACTGTGTAAATGAATTTTAATAACATTTTATTATATTTCTATAAACAAGATTGGTAAATATGAATTATTAAAATTTTTTCATACATTAATAGTAAAGAGAAAATAATGTTGATTACATTTCGCAATTAATTTCATGTTGCAATTATAATTAGAATAGTTATTAATTAATACGCAATATTTTTGTTTAAAAATTTCGATAGAATTAAAATATATTTTTTGAAATAGTTTTTTGAATTTTAATTGCTTTGGAAAATAAATGTTTTTAATCATTTTATTTCACGAGTGAAGAAAATATATTTGAATTTCTAATATTTCTGATTTCTATTAATACACCATTGCAATTTTTGGATATTCGCAAAATTTAATATTATTAAAAAGCATTTTAAACATCACGTAGTCTTCGATTCACCATCTCATAAAGTGTTTTGCATTGAATCAAAAATTTTAGAAAAATATTCATGAATGTTTTAATCATAATTTCGTCTACTGGAATAAAAGAACGTGAAATATTTGCTATGTTCAAACCGCCCCATTTCACTAATTGCACATATTGCTGCCTTATATATTGGCGAAATTGTTAATTACAAGCGACTGTAAAATATAGATGAAATACAATATTAAAATGATTTAGTATGGCAATATTGATGCATGTAAATTTCTAAGTTAATGGAGAACAGTATTTTATGTCCAATATGATTAAAACTTTTAAATGGGTAAATTGACTGTCCTTGAAGAAATTGGAGTAGAAATTGTATATCGGAAGTATTGTCAATCCAACGCATCAACTCGGTGCATCCTTATTTTCCCTAAAAGTCACGTGATAATATCAAGTGCGACGTTCAGATGCCGCTCACTCACTGAATTGTCCCAAAGGAAACGTTTCCCGGTCGGAGCGCGGTTGGGTGGATTGATGGCGGGGATGAAGGGGAGGCTGGGGGTAAGGAGTAGAAAGATATGCACGTCGTGGCGTACACTACATACCCCAGGAGAACAATGCACGCGGTGAGCCAAAGCTCTGCATCTCTTTCGTGCATTTGCGCCCGGATTAGCTTCGAAACCCAATGTCGGCGAGCAGCCGTTAAGGAGATCGCGAGCGCTGATTGCAAGATGTCGGCCTTGCGTTATGTGCTACATGACAACTGGCAGAGCGAATGAACAAATGTGAGAGAGAGAGAGAGAGAGAGAGAGAGAGAGAGAGAGAGAGAAAACATCGTATTAAATTTATTTATAAACACTATTTCTTTTTTTAAATTGTTTAAAATATTTTCATGGTATTGGTCTGATTTCTATGTAGGAATAGTTACGAGGGCATAAGGATTTAGAGTAGCAAATGGGGTTTTGTTCATGATTATGAATTACTTTAGTATAAAAAGTTACTATTGTGTAATACTCTTACCGATAAGATAATTAAATTTTCTTCAATATCTATTTGGAAAAGAGTAGTGAAGAGAATAGTGAAATAAGGCAATAGAATACGGAAATGTGAAATAAATTATAAGTTGTTCCTTGATAAAAAATTTGTTTATTGTCTTCATTATTTAATATATATAATATTGATTTCGATAAATCTTGTTAGAAAAGTCGATTAATTGAATCAGAAGTGAGCTTACCTCAATAAGGCTTTAAGGTAAAATTGTATTTTATTTGAAAATGTAATAGTTTCCAATGAATAAGCATCCTTGTTTGATTTTGAAAATGGCTTTATTACAATTTAGTAATTAAATAATTGAGATATAGGTTGAAAAAATTAAGCATATTTTTAGTTAATAAATATTTCACTAAAAGTATTATGTTGTAAAAAACGAGGGTAGTCTGATATATTTCAAGCTTAAAATGTAAAACAGACTATTTTTATCTAAATTATTTCATAACTTTAAAAGCTAATGTTATAAAAACATCTAATTTTATTGCTACTTCGTTCTCAACGAGATATCTCGGCTGAAAAACATCACGAAAAAGCAACTTGTAACCGATAACTCAAAATATATAGATATTGTTGTATATTTGTAAGCAACGAGAATCATAAATAAAGTATGCTATTGGAACTTTACCGTAATATTTAATGACTCGGCAAATAATTTTTTTTTTCTTTTATTTGAGTACACAGTATTGTTATAAGAAATTTTATTTTTATTCCTTTAAAATTTAAGCTGCATACTTTTTTTATTTAAATTGTAAACTTTAGAATTCAATAAATTGTTCTTACATGTATTTAACATATACTATTATTATTTACATTGTTATGTATGCAAATAGCATATTATTATTTTCTTATTTATACTTTAATTACAATATGTTTATAATTCTATTAAATTTTTTAATTCTATATTAAACTATATATATTTAATATTTTCATATAGTGCAATTATCTTAAAGAATATACATAAATATAGATATATACAGAAATATGTTTTGAAATATTTCAATATACATTTTAATAATAAAGTGAAATAATTTAATGAAAACGAAATTATAATTTTTACTCAGTTTTTTAATGATACATTCGTACATTTAATTTACATGATAAACTTACTCTTAGTTTTCAATGTATTTAGAAAAAGTTTTGAATGTGGAAAAGTATTGGAATATAATCAATACTGTTTATTTACACAGCTTTAAATTATAGATAAAATATTTTCTATATTAAAATTCATTCGATATATGCAAATTAAAAATATATTTTTAGATATAATGAAATTTCGTAAAAGTAATAATGCATGGATTTATTTCTGCTTTGAAGAATAAATAAATAAATATATACCTATTAATAAATACATACATTATATATATATATATATATATATATATATATATACATCATTTTTAATATTCACTTAAATATTTTAAATTATATCAACTACTTTAACATACGATATCGTTTGATATAATAATGATATAAAAATCAATATTTTTCAAACGACTAGAATGTGGGTATTCAAAAAGCTTCTAGATAACATATATGAATACATAAAATTCCTTTCCTAAAAGCATTATCCATGGAAAATTCGAGTAGTACACGATGTGTACACGATACTTTGGTGACGTCAACGACACTCGCGAAATATCCGGACGTCTAAAGAGACAAGTATCTACTAGACGAAAGTGTATTTTTTTATGTGGGTCCGTGTGTGCGCGTGGGTGCGTGTGTTTGGGAATGAAAGAAAAAGATAGACAATGAGAGTAGAGTATGGATGAGAATGCGAGTGACAGAGAGAGAGAGAGAGAGAGAGAGAGAGAGAGAGAGAGGAAGAGGATGAGTGAGTGCCAGCAATAATACGAGTATATGTGTAAAGAGGTGAAATCTAAACGTTCCGCGTCACTGAGCTTCAAAGCAACTCTCGTTGAGTTCTCGTCGGTCGACATCAGTTGATTTTGCTTTCGACTAAATCTTTATTTCTCTTTAGTGAGATCCGATGATGGAAGCAATAAAAACACGAATGTGACACTTTCAACTTATAAAATGATACTACAACCATATTCATTTCGTTGTAAATTCAAACTTTTTTAGATAAAACTTCCGTTACAATGATTATTACATACATTACTTGCTAAATGAAATTCACTTATGCCAACCTTGCTTTATGTAATTTTAATTTAGAAAAATTATATTTTAATAATTATATAAATATAAACATGTTACTTCTCACTTTGTCGAAAATAATTGTAAAAATTTTCTATCATTCTAGCATTTTGTAATTCTATAATTATGTAATTATATAATTATAATTTGAAAATTGTATCAAAATTATAATTATTGTGACAATTACTATCTTACATATTTATATTTTCTTGCAAAAATATTGTTCTACGTATTCAACATATGACGTATAATTTCTTAATACTTTTAATATTACACTTTTCTATCTTTCCGATAATTTTCTAGATTAAGCCTATTTCTACAAATACTATAACTACTGATAGAAATTTCTACGAAACTCTTTAGTAGTTAAAAATTTTTATCAATAACCCTTATTTCAACTGTATATGCAGCAATAAGATAAATAACGGTCAAACAATAATAAAAATACTAAAGTGTTAGTTGCCCACTTTATATGATTTATACGCGATGAGCATGTTTTAGATTATAGATTAGATTATATATATATATATATATATATATATATATATATATAGATTATTCCTCATGTAGACTCTAATAATGAATATATGCTTGAATAAGATAATTTTACCCTTAGATTCTCCATGTAAGCAAAGATTTCCCTGCGCCTGATTTCTCGATTCTGTTGTTGTTCGATATCCGATATGTCAGGACGAATGCTGAGTGCACTGGTCATTTCATTTAGAGACTTTTCCTCGTTTTCCCTCATTTCCAAGGCACGCTTTGACTCGAGGATCTGCTTTTCCAAGTCTTCGCGTAGTTTTCGATTCTTTTCTCGCTTGATTTGCTGCTCAACCAGTGGATCGCGCATCGGTAGGATCCTAACATTCTCATCAATCAGGTCCTCTGGTGGACGATAGCGTGACTTTGCCTCCATTTGTTCCCGCAGTTCCTTTACCAAATTGCGCTTGTGGTTTGCTCGCATTTTTGCGCTTTTTGCATCGGCGGTCAACTCGGCGTTATTTCGATCCAACATCAATTGGTCCCAGTAGGCAATTCTTTCACACTCGAGTCTATGAAAATTGATGAGAATAGCTGATGATTAGAGACATTTTTCGATTAATATACTATAGAATAATTTTCTGAGAAATATTTAGAGAGACACTTTAAAATAACCTACATGAACTCTTGGAGCGACATTTGATATTTGATATCACATTTACTTACATAAATTTAATAATAATAATGTCCTTCAATAAACACAAAGTTCTTCCATTAGAGAATTATATGTTTTTTGTAATTTCATTTCTATTATTTCGTGTAAATTCATGTTTACCGGCAACTATTTATCATGCGAATTATATTTATCGTAATTATCTTCGTGACAATCAGTTAATAATATATTATTATTATTTATTTTTTTTAATAAAATAATGTAAGTTTTTTTTTTTTTTTTTTTTTTTTTTTAAAAAAAAAATGTAAGTTTTTTTTTTTTTTTTTTTTTTGTATTACAAGACAATACATATTACTTAAATGTCTATTTTAATGTCATGAAATTTTTAATAACAAGTTTCGATATCTATAAATATGTACTTTCATATAATATATTTGAAGTTGCGTTCTTTTAAAACGTGAAAATTGTGCAAAATTTATAAGTTAAATCGTGTATTTAGGAAATAAAATGTCTTTATTAAAACGATATAATAATGCATTTATATAATGCTACAATAGTATACCAATCATTATAAAAAAAATTTTGTCAAATAACATAATCAAACGATATGAAATCCTTATTTATTTTTTTTTTAAGTGACAATTAATAAAAATAAATCGACTATATATATTAATTTTATTAAATATAATATTTATAATGAGAAATAATACCGCTACCATTGGTATTTGCATACATCGAATGTAAATATTTGCTTCATTTAAATGAAAATATTCAAATCAAGTAATTAATTTTCACACAAATCTACTTCACATAGATCATAATGATATTTATAAATAATTATCAAGTATTTATTTTACTTAAATTAAATTTCTATTGTAATTTAAATTTATACACTTAATCGAATCAACAAAAAATTCTATTTCTTAATTTGGCGCAATAATTTTCCGAATAATTTGTAATTTTTAACAGCTGCAATGACAATTAATTTGATTATAGAAGAAATCTATTTCAAATCTTAAATATCGTAATTTATTCAAGCGGAAATAACATATATTAAACAATAATATGATTGAAACGATCAAGAGTGCTAATTGTAGTATTTATTTTCATTAAATTATTTGTTCGATTCGAATATAATTATTATTTTATATTGGAATTTGATAAATATCTAAGGGTCGAATGTTTAGCCTTGGTCAATGACTGATAATAGTCGGTTAAAATGAGTTTCCCAATGCGCACTTTCAAATCGCCGAGTTTTATAATCGATTGAACGAGAGCTACGTTTAATCATACTTTATAGTTATCCAATTTCAGTGGGGTTTGTTCATTAAGTAATCGAGGCACGGAGTTCTTAAATCGCATCTTCACAATTTCGTAATAAAACAGCCGAATAACCTATGCTTTTATATAATAAATCAGTCGAACGTGCTGACATAATTTTAGTCCTTTGAACCGAAGCACGAGTGTGAAAAAGTGCGCGAGCTCATTCGCTTCGGAATTTTTGTCGCACCGTGTGTCAGAGTATTGTATTACCATATCGATTTCGAGATTTCTGCATTGTCGAATCCACTGTCGTACTATTATATTGGCCAATTGTCTGCCAAGCTTGGGTAACGCCGGGGTGATTTATCTTCAATTTCATGGAAACTTGACTGCTAAAATTGAAAATTCGAAGAACACGTGGTTTACTCGTTTCGTACAGTAAAGTTGCTGAATTTCATAGTTATGGTTTTTCGTAATTGCCGCTCCCTTGTAGCGAATATTATACCCATGCAATCGACGTACACATTGTCATGTAATCAGAAAAAATTATAAAAATCAATTCGTCAAATGGAAAGTATTATTTTAATTTCATAGTGATTCTTTCAGGATAAGTGCTTCGGTATCCCGAGGGCTATTACACTTCTCGACTGCATATAAGAAAACTAACCGAGAAGAGACGTTACAGAGGTCATCGACTACCTTGCCTTATCACGCTCCTTCATGAAAGATAAATGTCATAATCCTCGATCTGGACACCAATTCAAACTTCAAGCTCACTGTCGGGGCATATTTTTTCTTTATTAGTTGACACTTAATCATTGATGATATTTCAAATTAATAAGTTAATAATCACATATCCGAATGGGTGAAATTATTTCTTCTAGCTTTATTTTTCTTTATTGTTTCTAGCTTTCAGGATATTTGTACGTTGTAAGTAAATTAATCGAGAAAAATAATGATTAATTCGATAATAACATTGTGAATACTTTTATATATCTTCATAATGATAAAGATAAAATTTTTAAGGAAACTGCGAAAGTAAAATTTAACTCTATTTGTAATAATATTTCATATTATATAAGAAAATACCTTTCGTTTCTTTACAAACATAATAACTCCCGTCAAGTAATTCTTATAAATATATATATATATATATATATATATATATATATATATATATAAATATATATATACAAGAATAGATAATAAATTATAGAATATAAGAATATATACTAAGATAATGTTAAGATAATGTTTGTAATCCGGATACTAATCGATATTATTCCACATTGTGGATTAATGTAAGTAGTTATTTTATACTTCTACAAACTTGTTATTTATGTGCCTTTAATACCACCTGTATAGACTTAAAATATGAAACATCTTGACTAATGGGCTACTTGATACGTAATATATCCTATAATTATTATAAACCATATAATTTTCATTATTCAATGATTACTTTTATTACATTATTTTCGCTAAAAGACTGAATTGATTAATAAATTGATACCTATTTAAGGTGAAAAAATACTTATCGAACAGTTTTGAAGTACCGTAATTAGAAATCAAATGTAAACTTATATTTAGCATTAAAGTGAAACTTCAATTTCATGACTAAGCTACATTCGGGTAAATGTTTGTAAAATGTTGAGATTTTTATCAAATAATTAAATGCTATTTATTATAACATACGTGACCGAGTGGAGGTGTTCAGGTTTCGTCTGTGATTATAATTTAAGGACAATCGTTATAAACAAATGTGTATAAAATATATTGTATAAAATTCTGAGATTTGTAATAGTTTCTTAAATAATTATCAATAATACACAAAATTTTTTACATTTCTATGCATATTGAAATAATGAATTTGTCACATAATTATATATCAAAGTGTAAAATTATCCATTTGTTATATATAATTGCACATGTTTATTAAATTATATAATTTTAATGCCCATAGATTCTTAATACGAAATTTCATTAAACTAATAGTCTTGCATATTTCGTATTTATAAAAATATTCGGCATTATACAAAAATTCCTTGAATATTGTAAAATTCATTGTTCAAAATATATTATATTCGCACGAATGAAAATTACTACGTATATTAAAAATTAATGGTATTTCACTTTTAATAACAATGATAATATTGCTTTTGTTAATTGTTGAAAATGGATTAATTTTATTGGCTTGGCGTGAATTTAAAGTGCTAAACGATCACTTATTTGAAATTTGTTGAAAGGCTGAGTATGTTGCACATATCTTTGCTGCCAGTCGCTGTATTAATGTAATTTTACCAATTGAATGCAACAATTTAAAAAAAAAAATAAATTTATTAAAAAACAAAACAAAATATTTTACTTTTATTTGAGTTATCAGCACTAATATTTAGCAAATACCAATTAATACTCGATACTTTAAATTGAATTTAATGTCTATATATTTTTATTATTAAACTTTGTTAAATAGCGTTAGCAAACAAAATTTTTTAAAGCTTACAGAAATGAAAATAACGCGATATTCAATTTTTAAATTTGAACACATTACCTTGGTTGTAACAAAATTCTGTTTGAAGTATAATATTTGAACTGAAAATGAATGCACAATTTTGGTGAATAAAATAGCAAATTATAAAAATTTAAATTAAACGAATTAAATAAATTAAAAAGAATAAAATTTAATGTAAAATTAAATATTAACTTTTATAAGAATGAGTGTTCTGTAAAGATATCATTCGTTATTAATAATCTGAATTAATATTAATTAATCTGAATATTAATAATCTGACTAGAAAATGAAAAAGTTTAAGAAATATTCAATAGAAAATAGTTATCTATCAAACATATTAAAATAAAGTTTCATACGATCAAAATTATAAATTAATACTTTAAATAAAAGAGATTTTAATATTTTTTTTAGAAAAATCATGTATATACTTTAATAGTTAAAAAATAATATTTCTATAACATATATATGTGTCTACTTCTAAAGAATATTTTAAATAAAAGTAATTATATAACTATCGGCATAATTTCTTTTTATTGACCAAATTTTCCACAATTATCTTGATTGATACTATTAATATTCTCATCTTATTCCATCATACCATTATTCCATTGGTTCATATCCATTTTTTTTTTTTTTATATTGTAACGACGCTATGTAATGAGATATTAAACGGAATCGAACAATTAATGTTTTCTCTTTCGGGGCTCAATGAATGCACAAATGACTGATTAGTATTTTCCAAACGAATGATTTATATTTCGCATATTTTTTACACTCTTGATATACGTATATGTATGTATGCGTGTGCGTGTGCGTGTTTGTATGCGCGTGCGTGCGCACGCGTATGTGTGAATAAATATGCTTTAGAAGAATGTTTTGTAAAAATATTTATACATTTATAATTATAATTGTCATTTAAACATTAAATATAAATAAATATTCCATAATAATTATTAATTTACTACATACATTTTTTACACAATTGTATGAAATACAATTTAATATTCAATTTTAAATAATACAAAAACAGAAATTTCGTAATTGTTTTATATTTGTTATTGTCTTAATATATGTAAATAATTGCAGTAAATAATTGCAGTCTAAATTTATAAATTAATATTCATATTAATTTAATTAATTATGCTGTACGACTTTTTAAACTATATCTACTATAGTATATTATATTTATTTTAATCTGATCACATATATGTTATTAATTCAATGCTGAATGTAATACGATTCTTAAATTTATAAGAATAATTTAATTAAGCGATTCAAAAGATATTTTGCACAATAATAATAAAAGTCCATTAATGAAACGAGCTAATTTGCATAACTTCATTGTATGACTCGGTTTATAATCATTAACATTCCATGCGGAAATAGCTTGCCATTATTAAAAATGTCGTTGCATCTTTGTCAATAACACAGACGTTGATTTTTTGTATACTTACTCAATTCCTAACACTTACATTTAATGATCATGAAAAAGAAAAGATGATTCCAGCAATAGAGGGCGTGTTTGACATCGAACATAAAGATTATATTACAGGTAACATTCAAGTAACATTTTTTAAATAAAATGCTCCCAGTAGGTTGTCCGGCAATACATACTCTTGCAAGTATCTTTTTCATCAAGCGGAATCTTCTTATTCTGCTTGCGTCATTGGATGTGACCAGGCCCAAAGGGAGTGTCTCCCATATCTCAACTTCATCTACTTGAACCATACAATATCCCAGTTGTTCAGAGTGGCAAGAGTCAAAAAATGAAACTTCAAACATTTCGTCAGATAATAATAAGAACGTAGAGTATTAAAATTACAAGCTTTAATTTAAAAAGCTTTTCTGCGATATTAGTTCGTTCAATAATCTCGACAATATGCTTTTATTTATAATCAGCTTATCTTATTGAGATTATTTTAAGGATAGAAATATAATTTTATCATTATTTTAATCGCCTTTTAACAAGACGTTGTTATTTATATTGATTGTATTTTAATTAATGATATTACAGATCTATGAAAATTGATATTTCTTGCAATAATATAGTAAGTATACATATTTAATTAATTTTTATTTATATATCTTTAATAGTATCATCGGAATAATTTCTTACTAAGAGTATTAACAAACTATATTTACAATATATATATATATATATATATATATATATATATATATATATATATATGTATATATATATAATACTAATTGCTGTTTTAGAATGTTATAAATGTTTTATATTGACATATATTTATATATAGTGACGATTATAAGAAACATAAGTTAAAGGCGTAATTGGCGCATTCAAAGTATTTGAACATTTGAAAAATATATTTATAGCCTTATAACTTGAACACATACTATTTATATGCATTAGTATAGTTCCAAATTATAATAATGTATCACTAGGGACTTTTATAAATAGTAAACTTTTTATTTGCTGATTCTCTAGAGTCCTCTATCGAGAAAACATATGACGTCTTTCTTAAAAATTATAATAAAAAATAAAATACAATTTTTCAATTTTTGTTAAACTTATATGGTTACTTATACTTATAAGATTTATTATTTATTTTATATATACGTTTAAATATAAATAAATTTAAATTCATTTTAATAATTGGATATTTGATAAAGTTATATTTAAATATTATACATATATTAATTAATATATATTATAGAATACATATCTTGATCATTTTACTCATATTAGAATATTTAGATAAACTTAACAATATTAATCTGTTTTTACGAATGAGATTTTATCATTTTTAAGATATTTGAAATAATTAAAATAATTCTAATTACAGTAATGTAAAGAGTTTCATAATTAATATAGTCTATTCTTCTCAATATTACTAACAAAAAAAAAAAGCCTTATTTTCATACAAATCAAACAGTTGTATGATTTAATTATATTAAATCTAGAAAGTTATTGATAAATGATAGAAATTATCAGAATTTTATTTGTTGTTGATTTATTAAGATTCAAAAAAAAGTATTCTTGATCATAATATAAATTGTAAAATACAATGACAATTCTTTTGCAGAGATTTTCTTTTTTTTTCCTATTCATATATTGAAATGAAAATTTAATTATAGGAATTAGTTATATAATACGATGATATATAATATATATAAATACTATAAAACTAATTATATAATAGTTTAATACTATAATAAATGGTATTACGTAAGTGGTAAAAACGAAAGTATTCATTAGCATTTGTATAGAATATTAATAAATTATAAATTTAATTATAGTCGGCTAATTAATACTTCTGTTTAGAATAAAGAAAGTGATTTTAATAAATTCAATACTCATTATTAAAAATTGTTTTATAATAAAATTACTTTGTTTTCTTTAAATTAGATTTATTTATTAATGATTAATTGCTATGAACCCTAAACTGCTTAAAGTAATAGACATACAAGCAACCCAGAAATACTTGTCTTTACTAAAATTAATAAAAGTTCATACACGTAGAATCATTAAATTTAACCATATACATATATATCTATGTATATTAAAATTTATTTGTTTACTGAAGTTGACGAATATCGATTGAATTTATTAAAATTCTTAAAATTCTTAAAATTCTTAAAAAATTATTAAAATTTCAAGGTGCAAAGGTGCAAAGTGTTTTAAATGAAAACCTAAAAATTGTTTCATTAATTAAACCGTTTGCTTTTATTAATTAAACTTAAATATATGACGATCATAAGTAAATAAAAACTAAATTTCTACATTTCGATAAAAAGATTTAGGAGATACTAAGTTAAGCGTGGAAGGAAATTCAAAGCGGAGACAATGCAGGTAATTTAGCATAAGCTACGAGTTGCCACCTTAATCATCCTCACTTGATGCTGGCGCGAAAGAATTACTCCAACGACCGTGAAAATTTTAAATTGAACGTCGTAACTTTCGACAAATCGCCAACTCCGTTGCCGCCCCATTATCATAAAAAATAAAAGCACCCTCGCCGTCATCGGCCAAGGAACCATTACACACCTGCGTCGCTCCTCGTTATCCGCCATCTGCGCGACATTCGCCCGCTTCGTGTCCTCCGTCCGCATGCGGTTCCGCACTTCTCGCAATTTCGGGTTCATTAGCACAAACTGCTGGAGCTGTTTCTCATGCAGGAGCTCTTGGCGCGCAAATTCACGCTCCTTTTCGGCCTCGGCCGCCTTAGCTGCAAGTTTCATCTCGCGTTTCTCCTCCAGGTCCTTCACCATTTGAATGAGTTCGCGAGTCAAATCCGCCTCCTCGATCAGCAGGAGCCTCCGAAGGTTATCGCGACGCACTTCGAGGTCCTCTTCGTATGCCTCCATACCTACGAGGTCGACCATTACAATTCAACATTTGTTACTGCATTCGCCAATTATTCGCCCGGATTATTAAATTTTAAAGATGCTTAAAATTTCCAAGTACACATATTTTTTACCTACACTTCACTCCGTACAAAGGCACCAAAAAAAAAAAAAAAAACACACACACACAACTTTTACAATAAGAAAGTTCCATGTTTTTATTTAATGATTAATATCTGATATATCTCTATCCGTATGTGTATTTTTAATTTATTGTCACAATCAATTGCATTTTTTCGTTTAAAAAATGGAAATACATTGTTTAAAAAGTCAGTAAAAGAGAGAGAGAGAGAGAGAGAGAGAGAGAGAGAGAGAGAGAGAGATAAATGAGCAAGGAGTCGATGTCGCTACATTCCGACATTATGGACATCTAGGGGTTCCAACATCGAAATTGACAAGGTCATACTGTCATTGGAATACCGAATACTTGTATTTTTCGACTTTTCCCACACTATGATATTTAGAATTGAAAAATGGCAAGTTTCCAGCATCGGATAACATGATACGGGCAGGGCTATTTAAAATTTCAATACACATTGAAATTGATTGTTATTATAATGAAATTGGTTGTGCTTGATGCGAAAACTATTTTACATTATCTTTATTCATTTATCGAAATCTTGATTTCATAAGTAACTCAAGCAATTGAATCGAGTTCATTTACATACGCAAACTTTATGAAAATAATGAATCCGTAGTAAATATCCTTATTTAATTTTACTTTTATTTCTTTTTTTTTCTTCTTTTAAGTAATAAAGTTTTTTAAATTTCAATATCCTAAAGATTTTTTATGCTGTTACACGATGTCAATTTTATATTTGACTGCTATATGTTTTAATGTATATTGTAACTAAATAATTTATATTAATATAGTGATTAATCTACTAGTTACAAATTTGAATATTAATAATATGATTAATATAAAGTTACAATAAATTTATTTCTGAAAAATAACCATAATAGCAATAAATTGACAGTTAAAAATTATTAACCAAGAATTTATTAATTTTAATTAAATGTTAAATAGGTTGATAGTTTTTATGGAACCTTTAAGAGACGATAAATTAGTTAATTGAAATTTTTATTTAGCTCATTATAAAAGATGCGTTTTTATTTAACACCATATATTAGCTGCATAAAATTCAGGATAATGAAAAACATTCTATAAAATACTATTAAATTGTACATTAATATTAAATTTTACATTATATACAAAAAACATAATTAGAAAGATCTTTAGATATTTATATAAGTAATTTGTCATTACATACATTAAGTTATAATTGGTAAATAACAAAATTCTTTCAAAGTTTTATGCACTTTTACCATTAAATTAATTGCTAAACAGCTTCTACGTGATAAAAATTATAAATGTAAGTTGGAATATTTTTCATTAATGAATATCACGAAAATATTTTAAGTTATAAAATTGCTCAAATTTCTTACAACTAATTCAGCATTATTCTCATACATTTTCATTTTCATCTGTTTAAAGGACTGAATAATCATTGCAATTTAATTATCCTAGTACGATAAATCAATGTTCAGAGATTCTTTTATCCGATGATTAGATTATTTTCAATTTTGATGTCTTCTTTCCTGCCTTTTGCTGCTCCAACGATTTGCTAAAACTTTTATTTTTCATCCCTCCAAATGTATAAAAAGTTTTTCCTACACGCATAGGCTAACCATTAACTGAATTTCATTTCGAAAACTTAACCAGTAATTGTATAATTAATTTTTCTTCAATCAATAAACTCAAAGAGCTTTCTTTCTTCTCTTGTAGGAATCTGATAACATATTTTAGAACTAATTAGATGAGAAAAGTGATAGAGTGTCTCTCTGGTTCAAGTTATTACAGATCTCGAGCAGTTGTGATAAATTATTTTCTACTCCTACTCTGTTATAATTGACTTTAAAATATAGCTATATTGATTTAATTTAATATTTGATACTCTTAATTAAATTAAACATGATTTATTTAGGTCTATTACTGTAGCATTTTTTGGTTCGATAATCGATTAATTTTTTTTTTTTTTTTTTTTTATACTTTTCTATAATCGTGAGAACTGAATAATCATAAGCTTATAAGATGTATAAAACTATGTATTACTAAAGAAGAAGAAGAAGAAAAAAAAAGAACAAACATAATAAAAATCAGAAATTTTGTCAATAAAAATATTAGTAAACATTAACAATGTAGTTTCTATTAAATTTTTAGAGCATTGATGATCAGTTTACGTATTTCAAATGTATACGATATAAATGATTTGAAATTACGAGATTCCATGTTGCAAGAAATTAGAAAAATTATATTCTCCAAACATAAATATAAGATATAATATATTTTATTATTATTATAGTTATAAAAGTTATTATAAATTGATATATAATCATATTTTATTTACGCATATTATAATTATAATATGAATAGTTCATAATTAATTTCCTATATATTGCGATCCTTACAGACATCATAATCGTTACCAATTTCATTTCAACATTTACAATATTATTACAAGTCTGAAAAACTTTTGCGTTTTAATTGTCGTTTAATTTAAAATTTCATAACATAAATAATCCGTAAAATCTATAATTTAATATATCTATACTAATGTACTGATCCAACCAAATCTGATATATTAAGAAGACCATTATAAGAAGAAAAGTACGTTTCTTGAATTGCTAATGCAACAAAATTATTTTTATCTCGGCAATTTATAAAGTCTCTAAGCGCATGTATTCTAAAGAGACTACAAATATTCCAAGCAGTTACGTTGAGATCGTTGTTTTTACTCGTCCATGATTTCTACCGAGACGTTCCTTCTGAGGGATCAAAATGAATGGATATTTTACCCTAGAGAAATACATGGTCAAACTAATTCTGAATTTCTAAATATATGCAAGATTATTAGTGTATACTTATCAGTTCTATCCCACGATTCTCATTGAGTGGATGTGATTGATTGTGCATATATTTATAACTACTGTTCATGCACGAACATTATACCCTTCCCCACAACTTTTAGAATATCTTAAGGCTTTAATGCATGTGTGCATATGCGTATTTACGCGTGCGCGCTGATGGGTTGGTGGGTAAGAGAGCGTGCACGCTTCAATATGTGCGTGTGTGCGGACGTGTTCACGGATTTGTCAGAAAGACTGTGAAAAGAATGATTGAAAAATTAATAATACTATGGATAAATCTAGGTTATTGTATATTATGTCGATGAAAATATTTTTAAAGGAATGTTTTACTATTATGCACGTATTTCTACTTTAGCATCTATGTAAGTTTGAAAATGTGCGTATGCATAATTTTACGTACCTATTTTTGAGGATATATAGGCGTGCATGCATGCATGTGTGTATTCACGCTTATTAATGCATGTGTATATGTTTGTGCATGCATGTGTGATAATATCGTGGAGATATAATAACGTCGACGTCGACTAATAATATACATTTATAATGTGCGCGTGTTCATGCTCACAGGTGTATATATATATATATATGTCTACATAATTAGCACATTTTCTTATTTTTAAACATTTATTGTTTATCGAAAACAATTTGAAAGTAATTTCGATATAGTATAATAATAGTATATATAAACAGTGCCAAAAATCTTTTAACGTTTCAACTACAGCAAACATGAAAATTCTCCTAGTTTTTTATTACTTCCTTGCCGAATAATATTTACTTGTAAGTTGTAAGTATTAGGAAAGAAAAATTAGATAAATGTAAAAATAATTACAATGAAACGCTGTCGTGCGTGAAAAATGAATTTCAACCAAAAAAACTAAAACAATGCATTTTTTATATGATAAAGTAACGGTGTGCCAAAAGTTGAATACCATTATCTATAAATACAGAATTTTATTCGGCAATTAATTATTGGCCCCAATCCATTTTTGTAAATAAAAATCATTTGCACGAATGTTACTTCAGTGATTAAGTAAATTCAAGAAAGACCGCTTTATCCAACTTTTTACGTAAATTCGTTTCATAAAACGATGAAATAAAGTAAATTTCAGAGCACATTCAATAGAGTGAATGGGAATAATTTCTTAATTTGACAAAATTGCTAATACAAAGTAATTAGGCTGTAAGATTAATATATGAAGAAGATGAAGAAGCATTTTCATCATTCGAACATGAAAGTTTTAGGAATTAATCATTAAATTTTTTGTTTGTCCACAGTCAGCCAATAATACTCATAATTACGTACAATCTATAATTCTTTTCTTATTGAATTCTTAAAACGATTGATGTAAATCAAATTACAAATTTCATAATTAAACTAAATCGTTAAATTTATCATTCTACATAACATACATTATTCACGCCGGAAATACTTGCGGAAATCGTTATCTTTTTTTATAATCGTTTTTATTACATTTTTTTACCTTAAAAAATCACCATGTAACTTGCCAATGTTGATAATCATAAATTAATATAAGTTTTTCATAACAAGAGTTTCATTTGTTTACGATATTTCAGCCACCCCCTCCTCCTCCTCCTCCTCCTCCTCCTCCTCCTGCCCCAACAATGAAAGGCAATAGTTCGTAGCAACAATCACTTAAGTTAGCGATGCCCGTTTATTGTCGGAAAATCGGCAACGGCAGTTATCCGATTGTTGGCCAAAGTTGAGCCGCTACCACTGCGGTCCAACAGTAATTCGCACGCAATTCGCGCATTCAGATACGCGAGAGCCCTCAACTTTATATAGCTCTATTAAATGTTGTTTCCGTTCAGATTGCGGACAATTTGACATTATTTCATTGAAATAACGATTTCACCACCTTGGATATACCGAGGCTTCATAAATTATAATAGCCAGGGAGAAAAAGTAAGTTAGGGAGAAAGCTTGTGATAAGTTATGATTTTTTAAAAGAGCAATGCTTTAAAGGACCATTAAAATTGAAGGACCTTCCATATAAAATGAATTATAGAACATGTGCTAAGTGGTTATAAGTTTAGAAATACGTATTAAACGAGCGATCAAAATTGTCAAATAATCTATTATTTAATTAATAATTAATACTATCACTATCACTAGATTTTCCCGTAAATCTTTCATAGTTTTCATTACCATTTATCGCAACACATATTCATATTATTAATTATTTAACCATACAATATTTTTTACTATATTTTAGAGGGCACAATTTTTTAATAAAAACAAATAATTGAGATGAATAAATAAAGCCTCAAATTCAATAATATTATAACGAATTAAAGTATGAATGATAGATGTTTCTTACAGTAATTTTAGTACTACAACTGTTAATATTAACTTTCAAATGAAATTATTACTTTATTTTATTGAAATTACGTCAATCTCGTATTATGTCGTATCAACAATCTTGCTTGTTAATTTGTATCTTTTTAAAGTCGTAATAAGGTTTAATATAAACGGCTTTTATTATAAAAACTTACGATTTTGATAAAACAATGTCTTTGTCATGAAGTATTATAAATTTAAAAGAATTTTTCTTAAAGAGTTGCATTTAAAATAATTAATATTTAAAAGAACAATATAGTTGTGAATTATTTTGTAACGTTTAATGCAGCCTCATAAAAACAAATTAAAATTCGTTTTTCCTTAGAGTAAAACTATATTAAATATATAGAAATATGCATAAATATTATAAAAATGTAAGTTTCACAACATACGTACATATTCCATAACATTTTTATAATATTAATAAAGATAAAACTCTGAAACATTTAATAATAGTATCATTAATTTATCCATACATTATGTATAAAGTAATAAAATTAATCTTTTATTTTAAGTATAAATCTTCCGTCTTAATTCCTATTTCTTACGTTATAATAGGATTTTAAAGCATCTTCGGCTTTTCTCACAAAAACTTAAAATGTGATAAAGCTAGAAGCTTTATGAAAAAACTATAACATTCCAAATATCGTAATTTATTACATGACTGAATACATTTGTGTGTGTGTGTGTGTGTGTGTGTGCGTGTGTGCGCGCGCGCGCGCGCCTGTTTTTTAGATACTGCACAAGGCATACGTTACAGTTAACATTAATTTAATAATATACTTTTATTTATTTTCTAAATTAAACGCCCGAGGTAATTATTTTCAACAATTACTAGAATTATTAGAATAGCTTATTTATTTAAATTATTACGATCTATTTTATACACATGTGATAATTGTATTACAAGGGAAATTCTTGTATAAAAGATAGATATCTTTATATTTAATATCCGCATATTATAAAGCGCATCTGGACAAATTAAAAATATTATTCTATTGATTAACAGTACAGTGTCAGATATGAATTATGGATATAGATATTATGGAATAAATATACACCATTCGGTTAGAGCAATAATGCATTTGATTTCTAAATTATGATGCATGAACAGATAATGAAAGAGAATTACGAGTACCCGAAGTCGATAGTTGAATATGCGTGGATCGATTACCCAACGGGAGCCTCAACGACGACTAATGCGAAAAGAACATCGGAATGTAACTTCAGGTAAATCACTAATCTATAAGGAATATAAGAGAAAGATGCGGAAGCAAATTCACCTGTAACCAGACACACGTGAGAGGCGAGTCCACAGGTATCGACACTAGTATCAGTACCCAAGTGAGATCCAAGCCATTGAATTCGCAAAATGCGCCACAACCGGTTACGCACAATACACCGGCTTCGTGAGTAACATTTTTGCCACATTCCTTCTCGTTTAGCATTCGTTTAGCACGTAAACTACTAATTATATACTGAATTTATATAATCTATTTCAGTTGCAGCTCACAATTTCATAAATTCTATCTGCAATACTTGAGATACCTACTATCAGAGGTAACGCAATCATAAGGAACAAAATTCGTAATACAGCAGGTGGAGTTCATACGTATAACAAAAAATGAAGTCAAATTTGAACTAACGAGTAATAAATATATTTTTTTTTAGATCTACTGAAACGATAATAAAATTATTTGAAATATAATTTCAATTGGTAAGAATTAAATTTAAGCAGTTGAGCAATAGTGGAGAGAAAATTCCGTAAATTAAACGCGAATATTCAAAATGTTTGGTTTATATTATAAAATAATGTTAAAATAAATATTTCATTATATATTTTAAAAATTAATCTTATTTTCTACTAATATTGTTATTAATTATATTCAGTATATTCATTATAATAATGGACAAATGGAAAAAATATTATAACCTAACTTGAATAAGAATATTTGTCTGTTTATCGGATTACATAATCGTTCCCAAGATATATATATATATGTCGGGGAGGGACGGGGGGGGGGGGGGGGGGGGGGGGGGGGGGGGGGGAGGAGACACAGGAGGTAAATCAAATAAACGGCACAATATGAAGCTTTCTGCTTTCTCAATATACTCCAATAATAAGAAGTAAGAATACATAACAAGAAGGTTTTCGTGCTTACTCGTTATCACAATGATAACGATAATAGTAAGAGTATCCATTTTTCGCACATTATACAAATGGAATACGCATTCATATATTCCAAGAATAAGCATAAAGAAGGAAGATAAAAAATTCAATTTGGTAAGATAAATATAAAATATCTCATAAATAAATAAATAATATCAATATTTAAATTTTCAAAATGCAGTTTAAAAAGTACATGTAATACAGAAGAAAAAGCAATTTTTTCACTACTTCGTCCGAAAGTACAATGAGCGCGTAAATTTTATTTCTAAAAAATACTTAAACTATAATTTTCAGTATTATTAGTTCAAACATATATTAAGTAAAACAGAAAACACAATTGTTAAGGTTAAGAATTAGGAAGATTATTGTTTGCATAAATGCTATGAATTTTATAAAAATAATTAGCTCTTCTTGTGTAATTTTATGATAATGATAAAAGTTTATAAACCCTTATAATATACCGATGTTAATATTAATATTTATAATTAATAATAACCAATAATCAATTTAAAGCAAATTTAAAAATATGAATAAAATGGAACACTTGTATATAATAATAATAATATAAAAATTTTACCATATATATATTTACATGTATTGTACTGATTATTTTAAATTTATATTTAAATTGTTAAGATGAATGTAGCAAAAAAATTAAAAGCAAGCTGAAACCATCAGTTTGAAAGTATGAGTAACAATCAATAATTAATATATTCTTATCGGAGCAAAAATATTCTGTTTCATAGTATATCATGTTCTACTATACACGTAATAAAAATTCCATTTTATATGAATAAATTAATTGAAGAATGGAAATATATTGTTTAAAAAGTAATCAATTCTAAAATTAGTTTACATTTTGTGGAATCTATAATTTTTTTGCCAAGTATATTATCACATTTTTGTCCCAAATTCTATTATATTATTCTATATATATAAAAATATATTATAAACTACTTCTAACTTGATAATTATATATCCCTAATGGAAACGAAGATTTTAAAAGGAAATTTCATTTCAAACAAAAATTTGTATATAAAGGGTATGATCCCGTTGAATTAAAATAATATTCCCTTAATAAGAAAATTATCATACACAAATAAGTTCGCATGAAAATGTAATCATTTTAGTTGAAAATTGTTTTCTCTACTAAGAGAAATACTTCTAATTTGAAAGGAGTTCTTTCTTGATCTCTTCGTTAATTTAATCCTTCTTAAAAGAACTGGTATTACTTTCCTGCGTACACGAAAAATCCCTCGATAAAGAAATAATACCTTAAATTCGAGCAAAGTCTCGAACAGTAGAAATACTTTGAATATCAAATTTTCTCTCTCTCTCTCTCTCTCTCTCTCTCTCTCTCTCTCTCTCTCTGTGTGACTCTCATCCTCAAATGTAACCATGAATGGCTGGCCTATTTAATTCGAGATGAACAGCCTGATTTATAAATCGAGGAAGAATTTCCTTGCATTACTTTTCAGGTTGATTTCCCTTAAATGAAAAAGGCTGTTTCATGGATGACAAATGGAATAAGCCTAAGTAATTACCTTGATCGACTATCTTCTGTACATTGATACTGATTAACTTCCTCTTATGACGGCGCTCGTCCTGCGTTAGCAGGGCAAATCTTTTGTCGTCCTCGATCGCCTCGACGATTGCCTCGTACCGATTATCCGGAGGCATCTTCGGCTTCTTCTTGCTGCGTCGGGCGACATTGCGCAGTCTGTAAGCCAATGGTGCGTTGGCGGTGCCGCTGACGTTCACGAGTCTCGGCGAGGAGACAGCCGCCCGAGTCCTGGCCGTCGCGACGTCGCCGTCCATTCCGCGCATCGATCCGGCTTTACGAACTTCCTGTATATGGGAAAATTGATAGGGACATGAGTGAGTAGCGGTGGAGCAGATAACGGGGTGGTTAAGGGGCCGAATTAGGGTTTTGTGGGGCGCAGGGTGGAGGTGGAGATGGGGCCCTATATTACTCGCGGCAGTGCCCTATAAAAATAAAACGTAAAGGGAACAAATTGCGAGATCCTGTTAAAAGGTGAATAATTTATTTACCTCGTCGGTGGATACACGGACGGCGAATGCCTCCCTTTCCTACACTCGGCCACTTTTCGAGACATTAAATTACATAAATTTAAATACACATTTGTCACTACTTAAAGTGTTTTTATAAGATTTCAAGGAACGATATTAGCCTTAAGTGGATAAAGAAACGAATCGATGAATCAATGTAGTTTATTGGTATTCCATCGTTGTATTATAATAGTGAAATCGTTTGGAAGTTATATAAACTCCATTAGACGGTTGTAGGGAGTGGGGATGACAACGAGCTTTGATGATATAAGAAATGCAGTATCACAATGTGCGAGCGAAAAAAAAAGAGAAGCAGATGTAGAGATACAAGAATAAAAACAAAAATAAAAACAAAAAAATTTAAAGTGTACGTTAGTTAACGCGCATTAAATCTTTTAGGATCAAATGTTTTATTCCAGCATCTAAAACACTTCTTTCTTTTAAATTGAAGAGAATTCTTTCAAGAAGCAAAGACAAAGTGAATATTGCTGATAAATAATTACTATTTATTCGAAAGAATTAGCATTTTTTTTTTTTTTACTTTTACATGAAATAGAGTAAAGTGAAGGTCGATATTGAATTTAGCTGTTAAATATAACGATCGACATTAGTAAATGTCCGTTATTAAATTAATGATGCAGATCATTTTAAAAAATTGTGATTAAAAATGTTGATCCATACATTATTGTTTTCGTCGATTTCGATAAATAATGATGTTTGCCGAAATGATTGTGCTAAATAAATTAGACGACAATCTATATGGTCTGCAAATAGTTCATAATAGCTTAAAAAAATATGTCGTCACAAAAAAAAAAAAAAAAAAAAAAAAAAAAGAATCATCTCCAAGTTCTCCTGAAAAGTGAATGAGCTAGATTTAATTATAAAAATTGAACTAATAAACTTGTTATAATGTATAAATCCTTATGCTTGAAATATTATTAATTAAATTATATTTGTGCCCATTACTTAAATTTTCATTATTAGAATATCTTAATAAGTTTTGGCTTTCTTTTTTCCAAGAATTTTATACAGCTAATATTAGACTGAAGTGTAAATTATGATTCTGCGAGCTAACAGGCGAATAACGTAATTTTCAGTTAATTAAAAAAAATTCGTTTTAGGTATTTTAAGTTTCGAAGATTGTTCGTCTGGATTGATTTGCGAAGAAAGGAAATTAATGAAGTAAGCCATAAAGTTTCATCAATAATCGTAAAGAATGAAGTTAAGCTAACGAGTGATGAATAAACAAAAGTTATGGCTAATGGGAATGATTTTTTTCATACGAATAAATGTATCGTGTTTAAGGTGATACTTCCGAATGACTAGTAAATTATTAGCTCAAGAAAATAAAATGCATTAATAATAATTCTCTATAAATTATAGTGATTTAGGAATGCGGATGCTTAATAAACAAATATTTCGGCTTTATTAAATAATTAGAATAGCGCGAGAGAGATAAAAAGAAATAAAGCGACAGTGAGTATGATGATAAAAGGGAGCGAGAATAGGAGGAAGGGGGATAGAAATGACCGATGAAATTAATCTTCTCCCTCACACTAATCCAGGATGAAAGGTATCGGGTACATGTACCCCTTAGGCCTCTTCCCTCCTTATAACCATCCGGAAGTCGGTATACTTAAAAGCTTAAGAGGAGAGTTTCTGATCCCGCCACGTTGTTGGTTGGCCTAATTTAAATAGATACGCTGCAATAAGAGGAACGACGAAGAGGGATGACGCGTAATAGGACCTCCGCTCATTCCTTGCTGTATAAAGCTATTTTCACGAGTTCCTTTATTATTTACGCGAAAGCGCGTTGGATTTTCCAAAGAGCGCTGCTACCGCCTATTCTCGATTTTTCCTTCCTTTCATTCTCTCTCTCTCTCTCTCTCTCTCTCTCTCTCTCTAGCATTTTCTTCCTTTATTTATTAGAATTTGTTTTCGTAGAAGAATAGCAGCAAGAGTTAACTTGCCATTTACTAAAGATGCCGTAAGAATGTTCGAGAAAACGACGCAGGCTCGGCTCTAAATTCAGAGCTTGAATTGTCAAATAGAGCCAATGGTTCCTTCACTTTTGTTTTATTTATAAAGAAACGCAGGGTAAGTTGAAGTAAAATGCTCCCAGCCGACCGACACTGCGAGTTCCTTTTCTCGTAATACTGATATAATATAAGGCAGACAATGGTGTGTCTGTTATGAAAACATTGTAAGGATAGTTATTTACGTACTGGATGTTGTACTTTTAGTGTCAATTTTTACATGATGCAGGTATTACATAGTACGTGTTTATTTGTTGATACTGCACTGCTCTATCTTGCTTTAAAATAACTGTTTGGAAAATATATGCGTGTATTTTATGATACACATATAATTGAAGATGTGATGCGTATGTATGAATATTCATGCGTCTTAATTTGATAATACGTTAGTTTATATTTCAAATTAATTTTTGTGAATAATTAAATTTTATAATTTATAGGTCTTTTAATAAGACGTTCCACCGATTATCGATACTTTATAAAATTGAAATTAAAAACGTTTACAATAATTAGAGACTTACTATATTCTCTATTATAGCTAAATTTTTGAAATTCTATATATTCTTATTCCCAGGAAGTTCTCTTTGTTATAAGAAGGCTTATACAAAACCTTGTAATGTTCGGATTTTCGCCGTTCCGCATCGCCCAGCAAATATTAATCATTTGCTACTGCTTAGCGTATCGCGATACACGCGATATTTTACAAGACTTATATAACTTTGCAAGTTTCTTATTGCAAATTGCACTGCCTTCGCGTTTTACATAAATTTATGAAGCACTTGCACACGCGCATTACCATTACATTGTATATTACGTGGTGATTATATGATTATAGTGTATTGCTGAGCATCCATTATAATATACTAAAGTAAGGAATATTAAGGAATAGCAATATTTCGAGCACCTGTGAATTATATTAATCAATATAGGGATGCGGTTATGCATCTTATATCTTCCTTGATCTATCTCTTCATAGGGATAAAATCGATTTTCATATTTTCCCATTCTACTAAATTAATGGCTCAGATGTAAATTCCAAGAAAACTTATTTAATTATTAAACATTACATAGTCATACGTATTGTATATATAGATTATAATTGCAATATAAGTATCCTTTAGCTGTATTCAAAGTAATTATTTTCATTCTCTATTTTCTTGACAATATCCTGATAATTAGAAAACAAATAAACTATTTATTTGAAGTACTTTCCATAAATTTTCGCATAAACCTATCAAAATGGAAATTAATTCCTAAATTTTTCAAGTATAAACGCTGCTACCGTTAATTGTTGCACGATTCAATTCACCAAAAGCTGATTGTTGCTTCATTTAGTATTGAAAAAAAAAAAAAAAAAAAAAAAAAAAATTCAGATATAATTTTCTTTTATCGGAATATTATTTGATTTATATAGTATTTCGTACAGCAAAGTTTGCTAATTTCAAATGTATCCAATAGTTTTGCGCGCACGAAATAATCTCTGCCTGTTCATTTGTTTTCACCTGACATAACCTTTGGCCACTAGAGAACGATATACTATGTACCGTTTTAAATGAGAATTTTCAAACAATGAATCGTCGTGTGTCACGAAACAGGGATGGTGCAATTTATGTGTTAAACGTATTATATATGTTGATGTCCATTTCGACAGAACAGAAAAAAGTGTGTAGGTGAGGTATTCTGTTCTAATATATGAAATTGAATGTTCATCCAATTGATTTATTCGTAATATTAATAATTTGTTTCATTTGCAAAACTTTGAAAAAGCATAAATCTAAAGATAAACATCCAATACTTTTTAATGAATTATGATTAAAGTATTATATAAACATTTAATACGCATCGCTCGGGAAATAAAAATAATTAAACATGTTATTATAAAATTTTTATATTTCAATAATCTAACAATGTACTATATCATTTTTCGAAAAAAATTCAATATTTAGAATTAATTGTTCTAAATAGAAATGGATTTTTGCTTTTATAATTTTTTTTTTGCCATATATATTATTATTATTATTTTATTATTTATTATAATTTTTATTCTTATTCATTAGTATAACTATTGTATAATTGATAATATTTTCAAATAATATTTTCACTTAGAGTTATATTTTAATATCCATTTATTATGTTGGATGTGCTCTATGAGTGTAATGTTGAAAATAAAAAAAAATCTTATTATTAGATACAATAAATTTGTAATATTATAATATAACTTATCTTATATAATATAATTATTAATAATTTATATTAACAATTTGTATTTAGTTTGTTGTATAATTATTATGAATAGTGTACGAATTGAATATTTCTAATATCACAATCATTTTTATTTGACTGCCTATTGATTTAAGCTCAAAATTGGTATTTGTAATACGAAACGCGGATGTTATATTCTTATCATTTATATAAAGTAAGAGATAATTCTTCATTAAAATTCTTCAAACTTTTTTCTCGAATAAATTAAAAAAAGTAAATGAGCAGAAACCAGCTGGATTTTTGTATAAATTTAGACAATTAAGTTCTAATGAGGCATTCTATGAGTTAGTGAGATTCATTCTAAATACGTTCAAGCCACCCCCCCCCTCCGTATAGCTCTTTTTATTCTTCAAGCCAAAGAATAACAAAAAGCGAAAATTAACGCAAAAGAAAAGGAATATCAAGCGCTGGAAAATTAATTGTATTATTGGCAAAAAGAAAAAGATATCG